TGGTCGTTATGAAAAGTCAGCCTGCTCACTGTTGCTGCTGTTGCTAGTTGGAGGTGGCTTGCATAATCCCTCCACTACACCATCTCAGAATGCACATGAATGCGAGTTTTTTTAATTCTTTTCCGGACCGGAGTAAATGATTTTGTTTTTACTTATTAAATTCTCTGGGTTTTAATCCAGAGTTGTTACAACGATCTAAAGGGAGGTCTGAATTCGTAAGTCAAAGCACCTTTTACAAACATAACTTCATCAAAAGGTTGCAATCATTTCATATCGGAAGACGATGTCGCTTGTAGCTCCGTCTACCTCGAGCACAATGATGGTCACTCATACGAGCGACATCCTGCGGAAACAATCAATATATCGTTGGACTCTACTTTTATCCTTCGTTTTATTAATGAAGCTCTTGCAGAATCATTCTACACATAATGGCACGATCTCATTGGTAATCTCGCAGAATGAACTTTCGCCCTCCATTATTTTGGTCCTATAAAAATCTGTATTACTTAAGTATTGGCTAAAGATTGGTTGATTGCAGGGATCCCAGCCTTAATTACTCGTAGGAGTACGTTTCACGGCCATCATTCTGTTTAATTTGTACTTCGTATTGAGCTACAAGCCACATCGCATTTCGTGTGGAAATGGCTACTACGGAGTATATCGTACTGATGATTGATGCGGATATTAAAGCGATAGACCTTCAAAAAAGCCGACAAAAACAATCCCATATTAATACTTCTTTATTATCAGGGGCATTACATTTATGGTGATTTCAGATGCTCAAAATTTTCCAGTACGTATTTAAGCACTTGCTTTCATCGTGCGAAACGTGTCAGCTTGCTCAGTATTGCCCTACCGACCAACAAAATAAAATTTTCAATGTATTCTATTATTATCCAGAACCATTCTCGAACAGTAGTACTAGAGAAGAATTATGGATAGGTTGATGGACCTGGTTCTAACGGTGTCTAAATTTGAATTCGATGCTCGAGTATATAAGCGTGTAGTATCGTTTCATATTTTTAGCAGCGTTAACCCCTTGGTAACCAAGTTGATTCCCAACGTCGTAACTTACGACATGACGAAATTGCTATGTCGTAAGTTACGACATAATGAGACTTACATTAGGAAATGGCTCAAGCAATACTTTAACTCGAGTCATTTGAATATAATAAGGTTCAAGAGGTAACTGGGGTAAATCCAGAAACAAGACAGGGAAAGGAGTGCAGAGAATCAGTTCCCACTGGATATTTTCCCGCGCCCAGCCACGGGACCTGTAAGACCACTCATTCCAGAATTTGCCGGATGGCGCGCATCCGGTCCAGCAAACGTGGAAAGACCGCCGCCGTTGCCACCGTCGCTCGAGACATCGACTTTCGCCATTTTTGGAGGCAGCTGAAGGCGGTAGGCTGGACATCAAAAAGACCAAGCGGCCTCGCGAGAGAGTGGAGCTACACAAGCCCCGATGGAGCCAACGTACTCATTGTCGAGAGCGCGCTAGTCGCACACGCTCTGAAGTCGGGATTGCTGGGCGAGAGTGAGAACGTAGACGACGTAGACATCGGAGACAAGGGCGTTGTGGATGAGAGTTTGGTGAGTAAGAAGGTGGGAGGTGTGGAGCTGGCGGAAGCGTACGAAGAGACGGTAAGCGAATCTAGTGCTGCACTCACGTGTCCAATATCAGCTACACAAGCCTCGATGGACGAGGCCATTCGAGTGTCGCAGATTGACACGAGCGCTCAGCTTTCTCAAGAAACGCTGAACGCGTTGTTCGGCTCGTCGAGCGAGTCGGCCGATGAGCTCGATCAGTCAGTGGTGACAAGGGCATTCGTCACGCAACTTAGCGACCTTCACGCTGATGAAACACATCGAGATGCGGCTGCAAGCTTGCATATTCTGTCCGAGGTGTCTGGGGTAGAGATCGAGACAGAGCAAGATATTGTGCCAGCTACTGCAGACCGCGTCTTGCGGCCACGCGCTCATGTGAAGACGGACATCAACTTCGTACCGGAGGACGATAAGATGAGCTCCTACGAGAGTTTCAGCTCCGGTGAGAGCGACGGAGGAGCACTCGATGAAGACGAGATAGCAGAGCCTGCAGATCGCGATACACGAGATGCAGATGATGACGGCTTGTCTGAAGACGATGCTGTGTATACGAACGAAGTTTTCGTGGCTTCGCTCCAGATCGGTGGTAATGCGCTTGACAAGCGTGCTATAAAGCAGCGCGAGGAGCGATTACGTGCCATGGAGTGGACGCCTGTGTCATCGGTGTTTGAAGAAGGCGTGGCCGCGTACTCGGGGCTCAGTTATTAAGACGCTCATCCAGTTCGCGAGCTATGTGACCTCAGTCACTCCCCTATTCAAACATTTTTCTACTTCATGCCCAAGTCACGGTGGGTCAATATTAACGTGGAGACTAATAGGTACGGCCTTCAGCAAGTAGACAGACGTGCTCAGGCTATTCAAGCCAAGCAAGTGGGAAGTCGTCGCGAGACTGTGAAGCAAATACGACGTCGTTTGAAGTCAAAGTCTGGCTACCAAACACACGAGATTCTGCACGTAATTGGGCTTCTAGTGGCACGGATGTTGTGCCCACAGAAGCGCCGCTTTGCAGCGGATTGGTCTATGGTCGAGGACGGTGCGGTTCCAGCAGGCACCTTTGGTCGTTTCATGGCTCGCAATCGATGCCAAGACATCATGCGCGACCTACACTTTGTTGACAACGAGGCCGAGCGAACACGTGACAAGCTATGGAAGTTCAGGCCTGTTGTCGACAAGATACAGCGACAATTTCTTACGGGATGGTCTCTCCCAGCCGTTTTTTCGTTTGATGAAGGTGTTCTGCCTTCCACTTCAAATCGGAGCACAGCCTGCATATTTATGCCGGACAAGCCTCACCTCTACGGGTCCAAGATGTCCATGGTCTGCGACTCAAGAGCAGCTTATTGCCACAGGTACATTCACTTTTTTATATCTATGTCGTAACTTATGACGTGCTTTGCTAAATATAACTGTGTATGTCGTAACCTTTTTTAGAATCGAAGTTTACGCTAGAAAACGCGATGTCAGTGACGGCGCTGACAGCTCAGTTGATCATACGACCGGTGCTGCAGCGGTCATCCGAAATCTGAAGATTGTGCTTGGAACGAACTCGCGACACTCGTGGCATGCAGTAGTTGTCGGTACTTGCCATCGAGCTTCTCGGCATGAGCATCTACGTAATTGGCACTGTCATGATCAACCGGTTAGGTTTGGATAAGAACATCGTTGAGAAGCGACAGTCGCGGCCAGCTAGGATCCCTCGTGCGTCCTTCACCTTCTCTCGGTCCGTTGCGGTACCTGGAATGATCGCGTTTCACTGGTGGGACCGCAAGCCTATGCACTACTTGTGCACAGGCTCTGAAATGACAATTTCGACAATCAACCGGAAAGTGAAGCAGGTGGGACCTATCACAGTATCGTATCCGGCGGCTGTGACCGACTACCAGCGCTGGATGGGCGGATTTGATGTGCACGATCAACTTTGCCTTCAAAATTACTCTCTACAACTATAATTAAGTTAAAAAAATACTACAAAAGCTTATTTTTAGGCTATATCGATTTAGTATTGGTGAACTCTTACATTTCGCACAAGGAAGCTGCAACAATGAAGGGAATACCGGTGATGACGGGCGGAGAATCGTTTGGCGTCTTCCAGAACCAGCTCCTTCAGCTAAAAGCTGGGGACTTCGCCGGTGTGGCTGCAACGCCACCACCCACTGGTCAGACTCGCAGGCGTGCACCTGTCAGTATTACGCACACGGTTCAGCAGTCTGAGGACTGTGTAACCTTCAGCGGAGTTCAGAAGCGTCGTCAAGGGGCCTGCAAGGTCTGCGCTCTTCTACGAATGGACAGAAAGAAGAAGTCGTTTGCGACGACCTTCTTCTGCGAGTGCTGTTCCGTCGATGAAGCAAAATGCTGGCTGTGTAGCAAGATCCGTCGTCAGTACAAGGGAACTGCAAAGACATGTTTCGAGATTTGGCACAACGACTCCGACTGCGGTCAAGCCATTCCGCGCACCTTGGGGAAGAGGGTTGTCTTGCGACGTCCAGGTCGGGAAGCTGGAGCACGAAAGAGAACGCGCCGGGAGCTACACCTTCGTGATGCTGCTGAAGACGTCGATAATGAGAATGAGAGCGATCCGGAGTGATCCTGTCTGCAGACTTGCTGATGAGTGTTAGCATATGTCAAATTGTAATGCTTACTTCTTTGAATTCATGTACCTTTTGATTCACCTTTTACTATCAGATAGTAATTAAAGGCGGCTCTTTGTACCATCTTCCACCGTCTCTGATGTGGTATGGTAGGAAGTTACGACATTGAGTGATTTTGGTGATTGGAAAGGTGTATAATTTACGACATTGCTAAAACAACCTGCTCAAACTTGATACACCTTCCGCAAGTGAAAAGTCTACTGTATACAAATCACAAGTGACATGGCTATGTCGTATTATACGACATATATTTGAGCGTTTTCGATACACTGATACACTTTTCCGGGAACCAAGGGGTTAATCTTTTGTCCCCAGGTTGAAAGCCTACCAGTAGCATGGGTTTGTACCCTACTAGTAGGCATGCATAAATTAATTTTAATATAAAAGTTTGTATTAAGAACTATATGCATGTGAAATAAAGGCCAAATTGAAGGTAGAGCAATGTGCTCACTGAAGCACGTGCGCTGCGATCTCGGGCCGCACACACCGAAAAACGACTGCAATTGTAGATCAGGGCATCCAACGCAATAGTAAGAGCACTTTTTGTGGCATAGATTGCACTGACGCTGCACTCGTTTGCCTGCCTTACGTGATTCAGCGTATCGGGGGAGGTCGCCAAAAGCCTTCAGCGTATGAGAAGGCTGATGATCAAAAGGCACAAATAAGTCAGAAGAACAATAGGTAAGTGAGCCTAACGCGTGTTACCTCGTCGACCCCCTGAGACCTAGCACCAGACCGCAGCGATCACTTCATCACGTGCTCGTTAAATACGAGCTGATGAGATAGTTGTGACATAAGTCGTTAAAACTCAGTATTGTCCTGTCAAAGTGATGATGCCCACGAGCCTCGTAGTAGACCTGGTAGGCGTCCCAACAATAACCATTCCAAGTATTGTGCCAAATACTCTATGCATCCAGGTTTGTGTAATCCCCCCTCGCTCAATTGCAAGCGGCCCATGGCGAAGGTGATCGTGAACATCAATCGTCGAAAGCTTGTTAAAAAAAACAATTCTACTATTTGTGGACGCGGAACCCGTTTTTCATATCGTTGCGTCTCCAATTTTCCGTTTAAATCAACAGTTCGGTGCCGGACACGAATACTATCAGTCCCAGCAAGGATAGTTTCGCTATTTGATATCAACATTTTGTGTTTACGGTCTGCCCAGCACAAGGCATACATTGCTTTACCGGATTCAGTAAAACTTGTCATGACCTTGACAGAACCTCGCGGCGGATCGGTTTCTACCCACTTTTTCAAATGGGCTTTTGGATACTCGACACTTGCTGTCTTTACCATGCCCATGAAGTACAAACCAAGTCTTTTTTTCAGTTGAACAAGCGTTTTTACCGAAGCGAAAGCGCTATCACCCACTACGGTACGACCTGTTCCCTTGAATTGCTCCACTAATCGCAATACAGCTGCAGTTCCTTCTCCAAATTCACGAAAGTACTGTTTTTGATTTTGACGAGCGGATCCTTCTACCAGTTCAAGACCGAGAAGCATGCCACTGTCTCCGTCGGCGAGGGACATCAGCTCTTTTCCTTTTCCTTCTGGTTTTTGAGCGATTTTGGTTTTTAAGGAAGGCCGTCGTGTGTGAACTTGGCTTCACGTCCCTTCCAGGCGCTCATACACTCATCGACGACTAAAATGTTTCTAGGACATACGTGCGTTTTTCTTTGATCATTGAGCCCTAGTATCAAGGGCCGTATCGGATCCCACGGATCGCCCGGCTGACTGTTGTCCGAGAACGCAAGTGCGTACATTATCTGCTCGAAACAGTGACGGCTCATCTGGAACCCTGATGCGTAGTTGGCCGGTGTGTTTACGTATCCTTGTGTGTCCCAGTATACACGCGTTGCTCCATGGCGTGGCTCCACTGCCGTTGCAAGGCGAATACCAATCCACCTAATTAAATCACCAGGTCCAATAGTACGAAATGATGTCATCGCTAAATTGATGTTGGTCAGTCGAATAGTTTCTTGTAGAGTTCCCATTGGGTACATTAGATAGAAAGACTTCACTAGAGACAGCACTCCGAGTTGAAGACGTGCCGGCCCGAGAAATGTTGTTGTACGCGCCGGAAACGGACAGGCTGAGTCAACCATAACACTATCAAGCGGTACCCACAGGCGGCCATGCGCCACGACTGTGCCGTCTTCCTCTTCCTCCAGTTGTTCCTCCGAGTCCTACCTTCATCGTCTTCCTTGTTGTCATCACTAGAAGAGAACTCGTACTCCAATAAGCCTTGGTAAGCCGTATCTTCACCCCCCTAGAAGCTGCACAAAGGTGGATTCACCGCCGGATTTCTCGGTGTCATCATCCATTAGGCCGATTTGAAGAGAAATAGAGCGCAGAGACACGATAGATACCCCACCAGTAGACCATTGTACCTCGTAAGTGTGCTGTCTGCTTTCCTTTAGCACTTGAAGGGTGATACCAGTTTTGCCGATGTGCTTCTTGCTTTTACCACATACGCGATTTCCAACCTGTAGTTTTGTCACCTTCTCTTTGGCAAATTGAGAGCGGAAAGAAATGCCAGGCACATTGCTATTTAGGTTATAAGGCCGTCCGTTTCATTTTCAATGTCAGCTCCTTGTGTGACCAAACTTTAATGTTAAGGTTTTGGCTACCAGTACACGCACCATCCTACCTATCCTACCGATGGGGAGAAAAGATTAAACGAATCGAGAGTAGAGCTATAGCTTGTTCGAGGAAGTAAATTTGGGCTCAACGATAAAGTACTAAGTTTGGCGAGACTAAACACACATGACAGGATATTTTTTTATACTTACTTGTCACACAAAAATACACGCTGAATGGCAAACGATCCAGTGTCGCACGCTTTTTGGTGCAGTTATATATATTTTCTTTGTGATTGTATATTGCTTCTATATCGAGAGTCGCTTGCTTTACATTGTGCGTTCTCGGAGGAAGTATTTCTGTCCTAAGCTTTTATCGTCCTTATTAAAAAAATTGTTTTATTAGTGTCTACTAAGCCGCGTGGTCGATTCAGCACTAAGCTCAAAGTAAGCCGAGCATTCACGTGCGAGATTCCATTTTTAAAGACTTTTTGGGACAGTGCAACAGTTATGGTGCCGTTCTTAGGCTACGTTCTAGTACATGTCGCTGACAAACTAGAGATTCGGCGATTTTTGATACCTATAATTATAGTATAAAGTTTAGATTAGGAATGCGCTTTTGATGAAGCTGAATTTAGGGGACCAGTCCGCTCTAATATTAAAAAGTGTAAAATTTCAACAATATATAAAAATGGAGTACCGTAACTTTTTTGTATCTTCTGCTAGAATTAATGAACCCCGGTAATTTTACCGCAAAGCTCAAGTCATCGATTCGAAATGAAGAGTTTATAAGGCCGCTCATTTCATATTTATATGCGTCAAATTAAGGAACACACCAAAGATGGGCCGAACTAATCTCTATTGGGCTGTTCGTACTACTTGACCATAGCATACCAGAAATATGTCTATGTAGTATAGATTAAATGCTCATCGTCTCAAGAAAATGATCTAGGAAGCAAGCTCTATTCCTTTCGACGTATTACCATTTCCGATAGTGCTATATAAATGAATTACGTACAGACCAAAATGCTTTAAGCTCGCTAAGATAAATGTGTGTCGTACAACACGCAAATGTATACATTACTTAAGCTAGACAGCTTTTAAAAAGAACGGTTTGCATCAGATTATCACAGATATCAAACTATGATGAAGCTATGCCCTAATAGTTTATAAGAGTTTCGCTAAATCAGTACAATCGTCGATCGCTTTTACAAGGGCATTTATCGAATCAGGGTTGGAGGAGGCGTTTAGGCTTACAGTCGCCGAAAAACTCGCTCATGCGGAATTAGCTCAGCGAACTCGCTGGTTGGACAAGAAGCCGGACGCTTAGCTCGCGTAACAGGAAGGGGGGAAGAATTTGGCTTGCAAACTGCACGCTAAGACCTGTGTATTTCAAATGTCAGATTGCTAGTTCCCTGGACGTTTAGCTCGCTTAACATGAATAAAAAGGTAGCCAGCCAGTCGCCGGGGGCAGTACCTAGGCCATCACCGGTGATTGATATGACGGAAGCGTATCATGACGGGTATCAACTCTTAACTTATAGAAAAAAAGATCGCCCGGTTGATGCTGGACGTTTAGCTCGCGCAACATGAAAGTATTGGGTCTTTAATTGCAGACTCCAGCCACTTTCTTTCCTTTTCACTACCGGTACAGGACTGATTTTCCCTCACATGTTGTATTACTCTACAGGATTGAACATTTACGCTACCAGCCCAATCCTCTAGTTGTCCTAATTCTGAAAATGTGTAGGTACAAGTATTTGGTAACACTTAACAATTCTATTTACTGCTAGTTTCAGCTCCTACTAGTACAATCTATTTATATGACTTCTCGGATCCTTTAAAAAAGTAACAGAGGTTTTTTAAAAGGAAACCTCGTGTGTTTGATTGTTCCATATTCAGTTTCTTACGTATATGGTTAGATAAAAATGCATCATTAGACGATTTGTATGTCAAGCTGATTGGCTATTTTGAAACGATTATGAATCAGATTGCTTTATTTTTTAAAGTTCGATTTTGACTATTTCTGATGATGCTGTGAGCAAAAACTTCAGCCTCCACAAAGTGTTCATTTAAAAGTTCGGTATTGACGCTTTTGACGAAACTCGCCTTGCCAAAAAAAAAAATGGGGTAGTGCGAATAAAGAGCTTTACCATGAAAGTCGCTATGTCCATATTTATTCGGCAGACTTAAAGTTCTCGCAAGTTAAATGAACGGTCATTCTTTAGCGGGATGGTAAAGTAGGATGCTTTCATTTAAAAAAATCCAGAGCTTCCCCGTGTGCAACACGGCACTGTTAAATAAAATAACCCACCGTATAATTCAGAGGATGCCTTGTACAGTATCGGTACAAGATGTTCACATGGATATGTGGATACCAATTATAGTACCTAGGTATGCAGAGACGCGATATTCTCGAATTGACAAATGACGTTTCGAATAGCTGTGACTAACACATATCGACGGTAGATATGGTCTTTACGATGCCTAAGGCCTATTTTAATCTTCAGCAAATCATCTTTACAGTTCTACATTGAACGTCGTAAGGGCCGTAACCTATTTCGATCACAATTGTCCGCGCTTAGACTTGTCTTTTGTAACGTTAGTGCATCTATATCACTAGGCCATATCTTCCGTCCGCATGTATTAAAATGTGTTTAATTCTCAGCCTTCTGATGCCTTTCTGTATGAAAACTTTTGCGTTTTCTGGGCGTCTGTGCACACACGAATTCGTTTTATCCTGGGCGATTCATCTCTACAGATCGCGGTAGTAAGCAAGCTTGGTGCCTTACGCACAGAACACACTACCATGAATCCCAAAGCAGTATACAATATCGTGTTGACTAGCATCGCAGTAAAATGCCAGGGTTTCTCAGTAGGCGGTCAAGGAGGAGCAGCATGTTGAGGAGATGGGCACTACATGTACGAGATGGCAGAGTACGGCTACATCAGTCTGAGCTCTCTGTGCACGATTGTCGCTCCTTTAAAGCTACTCACGTTACCCTGCAGTGGCTCGGCCACCATCACTGTCGACATTGCCATCGCTTAAGAACAGTAGGCCACGCACAGGGCTCCCGATAATGGCATTAATCGCAGTTCAAATTTCGAGGCTCCCCTACAATTTGCTGTCACAAATCTTCGTAACGCCTACTCGCCAAGCCACAGTGCTGTGCTGGTCGTCGTCCAGTTCCGTATGTACAACGTCTATAAACACCCATGCAGGCCACGGCAAAGTAGCCGGAACCTTCGTTCCTATTTATTGACAGCTAATCGATGTCAAACTTCTACTGGTAGCTAAGTGCGTACTTCTCCGTCCGTGTAATGGGTCCAGCTCCAATTACATAAGTAGGTTTATATTTATTTAGTTATTACATACGTAGGTAAAGTGGCACACGGGTAGCGTGTGTCATGGTGTCTTCATCTGATTGGTTGATAGTGAGGAGACCAGACTCTCTTATTGACCAATCAGGGTAGACATGTGTTTGAGTGGTTAACACGAGGCCAGGGGTAGCCGCTCTGGCTTTAAATAAATCAGAGTTGAATTTGACACAAACCTAAGACTTGGTTTTACAATTGCAAGCTTCCTCCACACTATAGTGTAAGCTAGTGATGGCAACGCTATCCCCGTTACACCTGGTAGCACTAAGTAGTCTTTCCAGCGATCAAGTCTACGATGAGCCAAGTCCAGATCTCCAGGGCGGCCCTGAAGCATGCTGCATTCCCCCATCTCACTTGCGTGGAGTGGGAACGCTTTACCGCCTGGTGACGGTGTCCGGAGATGCTGTTGTCGCATCGCTGCTGAGATTAGCGACGCCCGACCAGCAATGTCTTGCAGCACAAGAGCTCATGGAACGCGAGTTCGCCGATGCGAATTGGCGGGTGTCAACTCCCTCGCGCCCATCCCAGAATGACGTAGTCAAGATGGAGACGTCTACGTATTCTGGCGCCGGTGGAAACCGGCTCCCGCTAAGCCGGTGGTTCCGCGAGATCGACATCGCTATCGCCTCGCGACGCATCGAGGCGTCATCAGCCAAGGTAAACTTCCTCCTCTCCCGGTTAGCCGGAAAGGCCTGCGAATGGGCCCTTGGCAAGCTGGTTGTCGACCCCGAGGCTTTTCCAGCTCTGGAAACTCTCCAGAGCGACTTGCGCCTTGCGTTCGAGCCCCCGCAAGATGAGTCGCGCGCTCGTGCAGAGCTCTTCGCTCTTCGGCAAGGAAAGATGTCCATGCGAGATTCCGTTCAGAAGGTGCGGCATCTGGCATCATGCATCGTGACCAAACCAATCGACATGACCTCGCAAGTTCACGTATTCGTGTTCGGCATGCTCGAGGGTATGACCCGCTACTGCCTTACCAGAGCTGAACCCTCCTACCTCAAAGAGACATTTGCACTCGCAATTCGCGAGGATTACAGGGTCGCTGCATCGTACGCCGCAGCCATACCTGCGGAAGTCCGAGATTCTACCCCCGCGTCCATGGAGATCGACGCCATCAACGCGTCGAGCGATCGACGTCGCGGGTCCTACCGCGGTAGCGGTGGGCAAAGCAATCGCTCCCTCATTTGCTTTCGCTGTGGTAAGAAAGGGCATCGCGCGGAGGAGTGCCGCGCGCCAGCTCCCGTCGTCGCGCACACCGATGCAGAACATTCCTCGGTCGCTTTTAAAAAAAAGAACCAGGGCCAGTAGGTGCTACTGGTTTTAACGAAGGACCGGGCCCTACGGTGGCAGCCCAATCTTCGAGCCCTTTCGTGCTCCAAGCACACCACTACGTCGAGACTGATCGTAGTCAGTCTCCACGTCACCGGTGCCCGGCGACCACTGCGCGCGCTCCTTGACTCAGGAGCGACCAACAACTTCTTTCGCGCGTCGTGTTTGTCGGTACTACCCAACAACGTCCGCGTACGGAATGATCCGGGCAATATTAAAGTCAAACTCGCAGATGGTAAGGATCGCCGCGTTGCGCGGCGTGACGTGTCCTTGTCCTACACGTTCAACGGCTTCCGTAGCATGGACGACTTCTTGGTGATCGAGATGAATTATGCGTTTGACTGCATCGTGGGTATTCCTTGGCTTGCGTGATATCAGCCAGAGATCGACTGGCTGACGCAATCGGTCAAGCGTCGACGTGGATTCGACGTAAGCGAGGTATTCACACACCTCTTGGTGGCGCCAAGAGTCTGGCCCCACGTCACAGTCGTGAACAAAACAGCAACGACACAGACAGTGCACAGAGCGAGCGATGGCCCTCTCTGCATTGCTTGCGTTACATTGTTGGACGAAGAGCCCTCGTGGTGCCGCGAGGTAGATTATGAAGTGGTCAAGCAGAGACTCACACAATACAAGACGGTGGTCGAGCTGGGGCTCCCACAACACGAGACGGTGGTCGAGCAAATTGGGCTCCCGTCAAACGATGCGGCGGTTGAGGAGGGGCCCCTGCGTGTTCCCGGCCCGGTCGAGAGCGGTCTTCCGCGCCTACAGGAGGGTGTTGCATCGTCGAGTAGCAGTGAGTCAGACTCGAGCGTGAGCTCGAGGAAGCCGAAGAAGAAGCCGAAGAGACGACGCCTGAAGCCTCGTCGGGACTCCACGACCAGCGATAGCCCGCCGATGGAATCAGTCTGCGCGCTCGAGTACGTGGAAGGAGGCCCGAGTCGGTCGTGCACTATCGAAGTCGCGAGTCTGCCGCGCGAAGCGGCGGCAATCACACGCCTTCCAGGCTTGTCCTGGAAGAACGTTCTTCGGGACCTCAAAGCTGGAGACGTCGAGCAAGTGTGCTTGGTCACCGAGGCAGTCTCGGTGGATGAGTCAGCAAACGCAGTCGTAACGGATAGTGAACGTTTACATCCGCAAGGTGCTGAACCTAAGTCTGCTCGTGAGGAACGATTCCAAACGCAGTCCTGGGAGGCCTTGTGGGAGTCAGAGAATCCCGTGTACGTCGGCGAGTACGCCGACGTCTTCCCGGATGAGATCCCCGCCAAGCTTCCGGCGGATCGTGGGGCTCAACACGAGATCGACCTCGCGCCAGGTACGAAGTACTGCGTCACCAGACAATGGCCATCTCCCCGTGATCAAGTGAAAGCGATCAATGACTTCTTTGAGGGCCGCCGAAAGGCGAGTCACGTACGCGAGAGTACGTCGCCCCATTCAAGTCCAACGTTCTGTGTAAAGAAAATTACAGGGGAGGCGCATTGCTCACGCATTCAGCAAATTGAATGATGCCACCATCCCCGCTCAGACTCCGATCCCTCGGAAGGACATGGTACTGGACGTCATGGCTGGCAGCGT